GCTTCCCTTCAACCAGATTGCAACGCTCTAGCGTGATAGTCCTTATCTGGAGCACTCGCCTCGCAAGCGAGAGACCGGGGTTCAATTCCCGTCGAGCGAAACCCTGGGCAAGTTTCCTTACTCCACACGCCTGATGATAATCCCTCAAGGACAAAAAAAAAAACAACCACAAAATTAGTCACTTCAATCCACGACTGTTTGTGCAACGCTGCTGCGCGCGATTGGCTGCTGTGTTCCGCCCTCCAAATCTGCAGTCACTACACCGTGCAGTATGTTCTGCGAAGCGTCCGGAAGACGTGAAAAGCGCGATGTCAAACGCGAGGGTTATTATCATTATTGGTGTATGTATTATGTCTGTACGTACACGCGCGCTCATTAGAGGTGTGTGCGCGTGGAATTGTGTGGGGAATCCACAGGGCGGCACTGCGGAGCTGCCACTATCGCTGAGGCTTCATGTTACCTGAGCGCAGGTGAGGAGATAACATGACTATTTGCAATTTAAATCGATTTGCAATTCAAAAGGCAAATAATCCCTTGGACAGTGAGTGCCTTTACACCCCCCCTCCCTCCCTCCCTCCCTCCCTCCCAACCAGGGCAAGGGGGAAACGGGGTGGCAAAATGATGGGCGGCCCCCCCTGAATTAACATGATTCACGTCCACTGTAAGTAAGTGACTCCAAGGCGCCTCACGGCGCTTCACCGGATAGACTGTAAAGTGTGGTGACCGTGTAGTTCGTGGGCAAACGTCAGCCGGTCGCGCGCAGCGGCGTCTCGCCCGCCATCAGTCTTTTGTGTCTGTGCGTGTGGGAACTGAATGACAAGTGACACAGTTGGGAAGTGTCGCAGACTGTGACAGACACCAAACCGTCACCTTATAATATCAGACACATATGAAGGGTTCATATGGACACATGTATACGAAGGGTTAATGTATTACTATATTAGTATTATTACACTGATATACACAGTCACTGCACTTTACCGTATATCCTGTGAAGCGCTTTGAGACGTCTCGAAGACCTGATAAGGCGCTGTATCCAATGCGAGGATTATTATTATTTATTGTTAATATTATTGGGCTGGGAAGGAATTTGCGCTGTGGGTGTGTCAAAGGAAGTGTGAACACGGGGTACAGGCACAGCGGAGTGAGCACACGGCATGTTTGTGTGCAAATGCACGAGGTATGTGAGTGTGCAAATGCACAAGTACTTGTGTGTGCAAGTGGACCAGGGCTTTTTTGTCTGTGTGGGTGTGTGTGTGTGCAAGTACCAGGGCTTGTGTGTGTGTGTGTGTGTGTGTACCAGGGCTTGTGTGTGTGTGTGTGTGCACCAGGGTTTGTGTGTGTGTGTACCAGGGTTTGTGTGTGTGTGTGTACCAGGGTGTGTGTGTGTGTGTGTACCAGGGTGTGTGTGTGTGTGTGTACCAGGGTGTGTGTGTGTGTGTGTACCAGGGTGTGTGTGTGTGTGTGTACCAGGGTGTGTGTGTGTGTGTGTGTGTACCAGGGTGTGTGTGTGTGTGTGTGTGTACCAGGGTGTGTGTGTGTGTGTGTGTACCAGGGTGTGTGTGTGTGTGTGTACCAGGGTGTGTGTGTGTGTGTGTGTGTGTACCAGGGTGTGTGTGTGTGTGTGTGTACCAGGGTGTGTGTGTGTGTGTGTGTGTACCAGGCGTGTGTGTGTGTGTGTGTGTGTGACCAGCCGTGTGTGTGTGTGTGTGTGTGTACCAGGGTGTGTGTGTGTGTGTGTGTGTGTGTACCAGGGTGTGTGTGTGTGTGTGTGTGTGTGTGTACCAGGGTGTGTGTGTGTGTGTGTGTGTGTGTACCAGGGTATGTGTGTGTGTGTGTGTACCAGGGTGTGTGCAAACTGCTTTGTGTCTCACACTCGGGGCTCTGAGCCTACGAACAGGTGCAGAAAGGACATCAATGGGAAATATCGATGGGGATGATCCCCATTCTCTCTCTCTCTGTCCCTCTCTCTGTCTCTCTCTCTCTGTCCCTCTCTCTGTCTCTCTCTCTCTGTCCCTCTCTCTGTCTCTCTCTCTCTGTCCCTCTCTCTGTCTCTCTCTCTCTGTCCCTCTCTCTGTCTCTCTCTCTCTGTCCTCTCTCTGTCTCTCTCTCTCTGTCCCTCTCTCTGTCTCTCTCTCTCTGTCCCTCTCTCTGTCTCTCTCTCTGTCCCTCTCTCTGTCTCCTCACTTTCACACTCTTTCTCTTCTGCCCCACTCTCTCCCTCTCCCCCTCTCCCCCTCTCTCTCTGTACTCCCTTTCCTTCTGTCTATCTCTCTTTCATTCGCAGAACATCACCTTCGCTCTATCCTCAAAGTTCTCGATGTGTTGCTTTATGTGAGTTGTTTTTTTTTCCCTCTACGTCTCATTTCCCAGTTTCTTTCTCTCTTTTTCTCTCTCTTCCCCTCTCTCTCTCTCTCTCATTCCTACATAACCTGCTCACCTGCTCCATCCCTGTCCAACCTGACAGTAAACACACCTCTCTACCAGCATCACCCCCCACACACACACCCTCACACACACCCTCACACACACCCACACACACACTCCCCACACACACACCCACACACCCTCACACACACCCTCACACACACCACCCACACACACACACCCTCACACACACCACACACACACCCTCACACACACACACACACACACCCCCACACACCCTCACACACACATACACACACCCTCACACACACACCCCCACACACACCCTCACACACACACCCCCACACACACACCCACACACACACCTCACACACACACCTCACACACACACACCCTCACACACACCCACACACACCCCACACACACACCCTCACACACACCCTCACACACACACCCACACACACACCCTCACACACACCCACCCACCCACACACACACAGACACCCTCACACACACACACACCTCACACACACACTCACACCCTCACACACACCCACACACACACACCCTCACACACACACCCACACACACACACCCACACACACACACACACCTCACACACACCCTCACACACACTCCCCACCTCCCAAACCCACCCATTCAGTTGTGTCTCAGCCAAACCCCATCCCTCTCCCATCCCTCCCTCCCTCTCTCCCTCCCTCCCTCCCTCTCTCCCTCTCCCTCCCCTCCATCCCTCCCTCTCTCCCTCCCCTCCCATCCCTCCCTCTCTCCCTCCCATCCCTCCCTCTCTCACACAGAGAGGAGGTACTCAATCACTCACACACTCCCTGACTCTCTCTCTCTCTCTCTCTCTGTGTGTGTGACTGGGAACAACCTCTCCAAACACAGCCAGTGCTTCCCTCAACCCAACCCCAAACCTGCCAACACCAACCATCCCGAGCACAGCGAACAGCGAAAGCCCAAGAAGCGCAAACTGGGAGCCCTTCAGCTGCGTCCCAATTCCTTGGAGCCTTTGCCTCTGTCCGGACAAACAGGAGACACTTGCCTTTGAGCCCAGGATCCCATCGAAAGGTTCCTTTCCTTCCTTTCCTTCCTTCCTCGACTTCTCCTTCTTCTTCTTCTCTTCTTCTTCTTCTTCTGGGCAACTTTCTCACTCACTCTCTCGCCCAAAACCAGCGCCAGTGTGGGCTGTGTCTCACTCCGATCCGAGTTTGGACCTTCCCCCAACTCTGGTGAGAGGAGGAGGAGGAGGAGGAGAAGGTGAGGGGCTTCTCCAGGGAGGAAGGGAGGGAAAGGAGAGAGGGGAGAAGGGCAGAGAGAGGAGAGAGAGAGAGAGAGAGAGAGAAGGAAGGCGACAGAGACAGAGAGAAGAGATATATAGAGAGACACAGAGAGAGAGAGAGACGGGAGAGAGAGAGAGAGAGAGAGAGATAGAGGAAGAGCCAGAGAAATAAGGAGAGAGAGAAAAGGAGAGCGGGGAAGAGAGACAGAGAGAGAGAGAGAGAAGGAAGGAGACAGAGAGAGGGAAAGATAGATAGACAGACAGACAGAGAGGTGAGAGAGGACCTATCCAGGTCTGGAGTTCCTGGGCTGTTCTCCTGGAGTTGGATGTTGAGGTGTGGATGTGCCGAGGAACATGACTGAGAGGGAGAAGCTGTCTCTCACCACAGCACCCAACCTGCCTCTGATATTGCCCTGAAGTCAACCTGATCTCTTTCCCCCTCTTCCCTCCCATTTCCCTCTCCTTGTTGACCCCATATCTAGTCCCTAGTCCTCTTCCCCAGTAGGACAACACCTCCCTCCCTCCCTCCCTCCCTTCCACAACAGGTGAGAACCTCTTGCTCTTCAGATCTTGAATTTATCTTCTCTCCGTCAACGCCCCCCCCCCCCCCTCACCCACCCCCCCATCCCCCCACTACCCAAAAGTGGGTAAAATATTAATTATTTCCCCCCTCCAAAGATTGGAAGATCTCGATTAATCTCCTTGAACTTCCCAACATTGGGGATAATCTTATACCACCTCGCACCCCTCCCTCCCTCCCCCACCTCTCCCTCCCCTGCGTTCAACTCGGTTTCCCCGGCTGATAACATCACATTGGATCCATGAGGTCTCCATCCCAACTCATCCCGCCCTCCCCACCCGCTCCCCCTCCTCCCCGCCATCTCTGATCTCAGCCCGTCCATCCAAGGGAAAGAGCGTGAGGAGCAGATCTCGAGACATCTCCTCTGGTCGACTACTCAAGACCTCCTTCAAGAAAGATCTCCTGGAGTCTGGCTCCAAATCCCAAATCCCAAAGCTCTCATCAATCTCAAGAATTCCAAGGACTTCGAACCCCATTTCCAAGAACTTTGACCTAATTCCCAGGAGCGTTGCTTTTTTGTGTGTGTGGAACTACTTTGACCAGATTTGGGGCTTGAGTTTGGAGGACCTGGGTCCAACACAGAGTGAGAGAGAGAGAGAGAGAGACGGAGGAGATCACACCAGCCTAGCCAAGTTGGACAACCTCTCTCTCTCTCAGGAGCCTGGTGTCTGATCGAGACCCCCTTGTGACCCACCTGCCCCCCCCCACACCAGCCCCTCACACCCCAGGATGGTGTCCGCTCCCCGACTGCAACTCGCCCTGTTCTTCTTCCTGCTCTGCCCGGACCACATCATCAGCCTGTGGTGGTGAGTAAGTGACAGACACCTCCATCTGGGGGGATGCGATACTGCATTCAGTATTGGGCAGCGCCGCTCAGGAAAGATATTAATAATAATAATAATAATAATAACCGTTGCATTTGGCATAGCACCTCACTGTGGTGTCCTGTGGTGTATTCTGGAGTTCTGTATCATATTGGTTCGAGCACTCGCCTTGCAAGCGAGAGGACTCTGACCTGGGCTCAGAGAGACTGGACCCCGGGGGTGGGGGGTGGTGGTGGGGGGGAATGTTGTTGAGTTTGAGATGGGCTTTGAGAGTTCTCCGAGTCTCCAGAGAGGTATTCTCGCTCAGTTCACCACCTCGTTGAGAAGCAGCAAAACGTTGCCTTGTTCCTGTTTTTCTTGTGTGGGTGAGTGTGTGTCCCTGTGTGTGTGTGTGTGTGTGTATGTCCATGTGTGTTGTGTGTGGGTGAGTGTGTGTCCCTGTGTGTGTGTGTGTGTGTGTGTGTCCGTGTTTGTTGGACATGTGTGTTGTGTGTGGGTGAGTGTGTGTCCCTGTGTGTGTGTATGTGTGTGTGTGTGTGTGTGTGTATGTCCGTGTTTGTTGGACGTGTGTGTTGTGTGTGGGTGAGTGTGTGTCCCTGTGTGTGTATGTGTGTGTGTGTGTGTCCGTGTTTGTTGGACGTGTGTGTTGTGTGTGGGTGAGTGTGTGTCCCTGTGTGTGTATGTGTGTGTGTGTGTGTGTGTCCGTGTTTGTTGGACGTGTGTGTTGCGTGTGGGTGTGTGTGATTCAAGTCAAGCTCCTGATTATACGCACCTGTAATCAAGGACATGTTTGCTGACAAGTCCAGAATAAACTCTTTATCTCACAAACAGACGTTCTGGCCAAAAAGCTGTGTCTGTGCTTTCGGGAATTGGCAGAGAGTCGTGTTCGAGCCTCTCCTGCCCTCCCCACTCCCCCCACTCCCCCCCTCCCCCCACTCCACCCCCTCCCCAAACCTCTAATAACAATCCTTGCATTTCCTACAGCGCTCCATCACGTCTTCGAGACGTCTCAAGGCGCTTCACAGAATATAGTGTAGTGACTGTGCGTTTTGTGGGTGAAACGCGGCAGCCAATTGCGCACAGCAGCGTCCAACACGCACAGTCGTGGATTGAAGTGACCACATTATTATTTGTTTTAAAAAAGGGATTATTAGCCCCGGAAAGTGATCCGCTGATCGACTAAAAGCCGGGTTCCTACTTAAACAGAGGTGAGTGTGTGTGTGTGTGTGTGTGTGGAGTAAGGTTTGCCCAAGGTTTCCCCCTGAGCCGCCCGGGAATCGAACCCGGGTCTTCTCTCTTGCGAAGCGAGCGTCCAACCACTGAGTTACAGGGTGTTTGCCCAAATTTCAATTTGACATCTCATCCGAAAGATGGTGCCCCTGACAGTACAGGGCGGCTGAACGGTGGAGCCAGGCTGTTTGTGGATGGCTCTCGTCCCAATGTCCCTGACCCCTACCCTGTGCTAATGTCACAGAGAGGGGAGGGAGGAGAGGGGGAGAGAGGCCAGACAAGCCTAACGGGGGAACTGTCTGTGGGAAACCAAACGGGATCTCGGAGAATCTTGCCCGGGTCCTCTTGCCGTGATCTTGCATTTTCTCATGGCACGCGTGTACCTGTGTCACGTGTAACATGTCGCTTTGTCACGTACCCACAAAGCACACGGACTAATGCAGGCGAGAGGTCCTGGGTTTGATTCCCGGGAGGGTCGGGGTCAAACCTTAGCCAAGTTTCTTTACTGCACACACACACACACACCTCTGTTAACCAATAGTAAGTAGGAACCCGGTTGTTAGTCAATTGGTGGATCGCTTTTCCGGGGGTAATAATCCCTCGAAAGGAATAATAATGACTTGGTCCCTCAACATTTGTGGGACGCTGTTGTGCGCAATCGCCTGCCACGTTTCACCCACAAAATACACAGTCACTACACTTCAGAGTATATCCCGTGAAGCGCTTTGAGACGTCTGGCCGAAGCGATAAGCCGCTGTGTCAAACGCGAGGACTGTTCTGAGGCGACGGTTTTAACGTGGGCCATCACGGGCACCAGAGGAAAGCCTCCCTGAGCCGGTAACCCTTTAAGTGGTACCAGAGGGATACGTCTCGGAACATTCCGCACGTAGAGATTGCGAACCAAGTGTGACTCGAACCCGTTTGGGGGAGACCGTTCGTGTCCAGGCGATTAGCTGAGAATGGGGGCAGTAAAGCGTGAGAGAGTTTGCATTCCTAGAGACATCGCAAGCCACAACTCAGCGATTAGATCACTATCTTACCTCTAATGGGTGTAATGTACTGCCTCTGCGGTTATATGGTGGGTGGGTGGGGGGTGGGGGGGTGCGAGAGAGATGATTCACAAGGTAGTGTGTCAGCCTGGCTCAGTGATAGCACTCTCTCTCTCTCCTCTCTCTCTCGCCTCTGAGTCGGAAGGTTGTGAGTTCAAGCTCTCTCGTCGGGACCTGGAATCACATAGTCTGAGCTGATGCTCCAGCCCAGCGCTGGGGGTGGGTGGGGGGGGTGGGGTGTTGTGTTGTCGGAGACTCTGTCTTTCCTCACTCCCCGTCTGCCTGTTCAGGTGGACGTTAAAGATCTCCCGCAGGGCTGATAGAAAAGGAAAGGGAGTTTCTCTCTCTCTCTCACAGTGTCCTGGGCCGACAATCCCCCGGATAAAATTGGTCACTCGCTCCGCGGCTGGTTGTGGGAACGTCGCTGTGTGTAATTGGCTGCTGCGTTTCGTCCGCAAAATACACAGTCCATCATGTGAAGCACTTTGAGACGTCTCAACGCTGTGATAAGGCGCTATATCAGATGCGAGGATTCTTCTTATTCCTATTAAAACCACACAGTAGTGACAGCTGTAACCCTTTCTCCTCACCTCTCCGCTGACATCCTTTTCAGTATGTGGTTTGTCCTTATCTTTGGGGTATTTGCTAGACACAAACACAGGACACTGGGCGAGAGGAGAGACTGAGCACAGACATGGCAGGGGAACAGGAATAGCATCAGTTGAGACACAGTCAGTGACACAGAGAGACTGAGCCCAACAGTGCAAGAGAGCTCGAGGAACATCAGCACAGATACAGTTAGATCTGAGAAATTAGGGCTTTCTTCACTGACGCTGAGAAGGTTAAGAAGCTACGAGGTCTTAATAATAATAATAATAATAATAATAATAATCCTCGCATTTGATACAGTACCTTATCAAGTCTTCGAGACATCTCAAAGCGCTTCACAGGAGATACTGCAAAGCGAATTGAATGTGCATTTTGTGGGGAAACGCAGCAGCCAATTGCGCACAACAGCGTCCCACACGCAGTCAGTCCGACGTGGATTGAGTGGGCAAATAATTATTTAAAAAAATTTTTTTTTTAAGGAATTATTACCCCCGGAGAGCGATCCATCAATCAACTAACATCCAGGATCCTACTTACTGCTGAGTAAACAGGTGGGCAGAGCGAGCGAGCGAACTTGCCTAAGGAATCGAACCCAGGTTCTCTCGCTTGCGAGGCGAGTGCTCTAACCACTGCGCTACAGGGTGTACAGCGAGAGGTTATTTACAGAGTGGTTAGAGCCCTTGCCTCGCAAGTCAGAGGACCCGGGTTCGATTCCCCGGGCGGGGCGAAACCTTAGGCAAGTTCCCTTGCACCAAACCTTTCTGCTTACCCAGCAATAAGTAGGAACCCGGATGTTAGTCGATTGGGTGTTTACTCTCCGGGGGTAATAACCTCTCCATTAAAAAAAATGCGGTCTCTCAATCCACACCCATTTGTGGGTCGCTGCTGTGTGCAGTGCTCACAAGGTACACGTATCCCGAGAAGCGCTTTGAGACGTCTTGACAACGTGTAAGGCGCTGTGTCAAACACAAGACATGTTATTGTTGTTGTTGTTGTTGTGAGAGCCGCTGTGTGTGTGTTTGGGTCGCAGGGCGGTGGGAAGTCCTCTGGTGATGGACCCCAACAGCATCTGCAGGAAGACCAAGCGCTTGGCCGGGAAGCAGGCGGAGCTGTGCCAGACCGAGCCGGAAATCGTGAGCGAGGTGGCCAAGGGAGCTCGGCTGGGAGTGCGGGAGTGCCAGTTCCAGTTCCGATTCCGCAGGTGGAATTGCACCATCCACAACAAGTACTTCGGGAAAATCCTCCAACAAGGTAGGAGCTGGATACGATCAGGTCTCAAGCACAGGGCGGTGGCAGGTCGGGGGGGGGGTGGAGAACTAGAGACGTTGACAACACAGAAGGAGGCCATTCGGTCAATCGTACCTGTGACAGAGCTCTGCGTTCACTCCCATTCATCCTGTGACCCCCCCCCCATACACACACACACACACACACACACACGAGACATCTCGAAGACGTGATAAGGCGCTGTATCAAATGCAAGGATTATTATTATTATTATTATACCCGCAGCCTCCGCTCGCTGGCTCTGGCCTCCTGCTTGTCCCTCGTCCCCTCCGCTGCTACGCCCCGAAACTCACTCTCTCCCCACCCCCCCCCACTTCCACCAAAACCCTCTGCTTTGCCCCCTCCTTCCCCCAAGTTCGGATCTCAACCGAAGACCTTCCTTACGGTCATCTCCTCCTTCCGTCCCCACCGCTCAGTGTCGCAGTGTCTCGGTGCTCCACCACCATCAGTCTCTCTGGGACGCTGCCCTGTGTGAAGGACACTGTATAAAATGCAAGTTGTTGTTACTGTTGAACTATTCTGTTGATCCGACTGCAATAGCCACAGGTAATGAATCCCAAACTCCAACTAACGTCAGAGAGAGGAAACCTTTCTAATCTCTCATTGGATTCGCCTGCTCACAATCCTCAGTCTCTGCCCTGTCCAGACTAATTCCCTGAGGAAAAGGAAATGTTTTTTCCCTATTTACCTTCGTGACCTTATACCTGGGTGAATCCGCCCTCTAAACTGTCCCTCCAGGCAAACTGACCTGGTCTTCACCTGACCTTTGGGTCTAGACAGGTCTGCGCTCGGTGAATGGGTGTCCTGAAGCTTATTATTCTCCCAGCGCAACAGCGAGGATGGGGTTAGAGTAGAGAGCTCCAGTGGGGGAGCGAACCCCAGCACAGACACGATGGGGAGAGAGAGAGAGAGAGAGAGCAAGGAATGGGGTTAGAATAGAGAGCTCCAGTGGGGGAGAGCGAGCCCCAGGACAGACACGATGGGGGGAAAGAGAGAGAGAGAGCAGGGAATGGGGTTAGAGTAGAGAGCTCCCAGTGGGGGAGAGCGAGCCCCAGGACAGACACCATGGGGAGAGAGAGAGAGAGAGAGAGAGAGAGAGAGAGAGCAGGGAATGGGGTGAGAGCAGAGAAACGAAGAACCTTAAAGGGTTAAGAATCTTAAGTAACCACGTAAGTATGCGAGAGAGAGAGAGAGAGAGAGGGAGAGAGAGAGAGGAGAAGAAAAAAAAAACAGAGCGAGCGAGCGAGGCAAGATGGGGATGCGTGCTTGTGTGAGAGGGGGGCGTTCTGCCCGGGTGGGGATTCAGACGGGAATGAGTTCAGGCTCTTGTCCTCCAGGACATGAAATTCCGAGCAGACAAGAAATATGCCTCAGCTGCAGGTCTGTGCCTGAACGTGTCGGAGGCGAGAGATCGAGGCGGCGCGGCTCAGCACAGCTCCTGAATGAGCGGACGCACTCATTCCAGTCATTGCTGCTGTCAGCGCTGATCATATGTGTGTATATACACACACACGCGCGCGCGCGCACACACATGCACACTTATACACACACACACACACACACACACGCGCACACACACACACGTACAAATACACACAGACGTATGCGTGTACGCGCACAGGGGACGTCCTCCCACCGCGAGTGCCGCTCCTGTACATAAATGTACGCGATCGGCTGTCGCGTTACCCGCCCCCCCCGAATGCACACACCCGGTCACTCCGCTTCACACCGTGTCCCGCGAAGCGCTTTGAGGCGTCTCAACGACGGGACGAGGCTCCGGGTCAAACACCAGGTTTATTGTTATTAATTCGGTATAAATGCAACTCGTCGTCGTCGTTATTGTTGTTGTCGTCGTCGAACCTCTCGCGGGACCTTGTGAGCGTTGGCTGCTTCCTTTAACATTTGCCCCCCTTTTGCCCCCTCCCCCCCCCCCCACCCCCCTACACCTCTCCCGCGCACAGATATCCGGGAGACAGCCTTTGTTTACGCCATCACAGCGGCGGGGGTGACCCACGCGGTCACCCAGGGGTGCAGCATGGGCGAGCTCCTGCAGTGTGGGTGTCACTCCTCCTCGCGGGATCGCTCGCCCCCTCCGCCCTCCTCCGGGGGGAATCCCAGCGGGGGGCCGGGGGGCCAGGCCCCGCCCAGCGCCTGGGAGTGGGGGGGGTGCGGAGATGACGTGGAGTTCGGCTACGAGAAATCCAAACAGTTCATGGACCCCAAGAGGAAGAAAGGCAGGAGCGACATCAGGACACTGATAGACCTGCAGAACAACGAGGCCGGGAGACTGGTGAGTACCTAAACCTTCACCCCCTCCCCCCACCCCCACCTCGCGCCTCTCAGGATCCCCCCCCCACTCCTACCATCTCGGGGATACCCCCTCCCTCCTCACTGCTCCTCCCCTTGGGATTCTCCCCACTTCTCACGGTCCACCCCCATTTCGGGGATTCCCCGCTGACCCTCCCCTTGGGTTTGGGTTTCCTTCTCTCCCCCACCCCACCCCTCTCCCCCCCACCCCGCCATAGGGACATGGGAACAGGAGAAGGCCATTCAGCCCCTCGAGCCTGTTCCGCCATTCAATTAGACCGTGGTTGATGTATACCTCGACCCCATTACCCGCCTTTGCCCCGTATCCCCTTGATCCCCTGACCTGTCAGATGTCTATCGCCTCAGTCTGGACAATGTGACTGGATTCAGCCATAATCCACAGCCTTTTGGGGGAGAGGGAGAGAGAGAGAGAAAGACTCGGTTTTATTATTCCCCTTTGGGCGAAAAACTGTCTCCAGATTTCACTCCTAAATGGCCTGGCTCTGATTTTAGGATTATGCCCCCTCCCTCCTCCGCCCCTCGCCTTGAGGATTCCCTCCTAGCCCCGACCACCAATTGGCTGCCGCGTTTCGCCCGCAAAACACACAGTCACTCCACTTTGACAGTGCATCCTGCGAAGCGCTTTGCGACGTCTCGAAGACGTGATCAGGCGCTGAACCAAATGCGAGGATTATTATTATTATTATTATCATTACCTAATTCCGGAGAGCATTAGGCGCAGGTTGGCAAGAGCCAAGGCTTGGGTGGGGGGTGGGGGGGGGGAGCCCAGAGTGTGCGTTGGTGTAACTGCTGGAGTCTAACCAGCTAAACCCACGTAGCTTGGCCATTGAGAGAGAGAGAGTGAGAGCGAGCGCGCTGTCTGGCCAAGCTTTCCCGCTGCTTGTCCAGCCAGGACCCCCCTCCCCGTGAGTTAGGGCTTTGGCTGTGGGGTTACCAGGAGCTGAGTGTTTATTCCAAACCCGTGGCCTCAAATCCACTCAAATCCATTCGAACTATTCTTAATTAAACACCAGCTTTAACCAAAATATGCTGAGGGAGGGTGGGGGAGAGGGGTGGGGGGGGGGGGGGGGGATGGTGGAGCGGGGTAGAGGGTAGGAGGGGCAGGGGGAGAGGGGGTGGGGTGGGGGGGGGGGGTTGCATTAATCACGAATTAACCTCGGCAGGAATGCGTCAAGCACGGAGGCACTCGCTCTGACATTCCACCGCCCGCAGCAATAGAAATTAATTCTCCATCTGGCGTGTAATCTTGACAATCAATCTGTCGTCGTGTTTTTCTTTCACTCACTCACTCTCTCTCTCTCTTCTCTCAACCCACAGTCCCTCCGTCTCGTCCCCCCCCCCCCCCCCCACCACCTCCCTCGCCTCCTTCAAGGCACGTCTCAAGACCCTCCCTACTCCCTTCCCCCCCCACACACACCCCCCGCCCTCCACCTCCTCCTGATCCCAACCCCCAGCTCGGGCCCAAATCCCTGACCGTCCAGCGCCTTGGGACGTCCTCCCGACGTGAAAGGCTCCGCGTAAAAATGTCGTGCGTGGTTTTTATTTGTTGTTTGACGAGTAGTGAACGTAAGGAACAATAATATCCGGCGCTAAGGCAGTGTATAGTTTGGGGCACCACATGTCGAGCGCCACTGCCAGGACGGTGGAAGCCAAACTAGACGCAGAAAATTCGCCCAGAAAATTCTTATGTTCTTATGATCTCTCCTCAACCCTCTCCTCTCTCTCTCTCTCTCCTCTCTATCTCTCGTCCTCTCTCTCTCTCTCTCTTCCCTCTCTCTGCGCGCCTCGCAAGGCGGTGAAAAATTACATGAAGGTAGAGTGCAAGTGTCATGGCCTTTCCGGCTCCTGCACCCTCAAGACATGTTGGAGTAAGATGCCTCATTTCCGGGAGGTGGGCGACCGATTGTTGGACCGTTTCAACGGGGCCTTCAAGGTGATGGGGGGCAACGACGGCAAGACCCTCCTGCCCGTGGGACACAACATCAAGCCCCCCGACAAGATGGACCTGGTCTACTCTCTCAACTCCCCCGATTTCTGTCTCCCTAACCGCAAGACCGGCTCGGTGGGCACCGGGGGGAGGTCGTGCAACAGCACAGCCATGGACGTGAGCGGCTGTGACCTCCTCTGCTGCGGAAGGGGCTTCAGGGACGAGACGGTGGTCTTCGAGGAGAACTGTCTCTGTCGCTTCCACTGGTGTTGTGTTGTGCAGTGTAAGACGTGTACAGTGCGGAGGGAGCTTAGCCTCTGTTTGTGACGAGGAGGGAGAGGGGAGAAGGGGGGAGGCAATATAATAATAATAATAATAATAATAATCCTTGCATTTTGATACAGCGCCTTATCACGTCATCGAGACGTCTCAAAGCGCTTCACACGATACGCTGTAAAGTGGGTGACTCTGTATTTCGTGGGTGAAACGCGGCAGCCAATTGCGCACGGCAGCGTCCCCACAAACAGCTGTGGATTGAGCAACCAAATTCTTTTTGTGGTGGGGGGGACTGGGGGAATATTTCTCCTGGAAAGAGATCGCCAATCGACTGTCAACCGGGTTCCTACCTACTGCTGGTAAACAGAGGCGAGTGTGTGCGTGTGCGTGTGTGTGTGTGTGGAGTAAGGAAACTTGCCTACGGCTTCGCCCTGACCCGCCCGGGAATCGAACCCGGGTCCTCTCGCTTGCGACTACACTGTGTATGGGGGGGGGGGGGACATCTGGGGGGGAGGGACCTGCCACATATTTGTCTCCTCAACCCCAGGAGAATGCTATCAGGATTCTCCATGTTTAACAAGGTTGGCTTTAACAGCAGGTGAAATAGAGACCATCAGCCCATGGTGTCTGTGCTGGGGCTCGCTCCCCCACTGGAGCGCTCTACTCTAACCCTACTCCCTGCGCTCTCCCCATCGTGTCTGTGCTGGTGAGAGAGAGAGAGAGAGAGAGAGAGTGAGAAAGGGATGGTGAGGGAGTGTGTGTGTATGTGTGTGTGTGTGTGTGTGTGTGTGTCCGAGAGAGAGATCTTCGGGTTTGCTGCAACTTTTTTTAACGAGAATTCTTCCCGGACTGTCCTGCTGATCGTGAGCAGAGAACCTCACCGCTCCTCACATCCCCGAGAGATTCTTACAAAGTCCGCAGTACTCCGGGGCACTCGTTGCTGCTGATAGCTCGGCCCGGCCCGGCTCATCGGCAGGACCTGGAAAGGCAGACCAGTCACTGGGGGCAGGGAATCCTCCCCCTCAACTCCCGTTAACCCCACAGCCGAAGCCCTAACTAACAGGTAGGGCGGGATGCATGGAAATCTCAGTTGGGATTGGAGATTCTCAAGCAACGGAGATGGGTATCTGCACGTGTCAGTCGTCTGACGAACAAAAACTCCAACATGTGTGCCCAGGTCACCCTGTAAGGCTGTGCGGAGGTTGAGAGGGGAGGTGTGGGGGGATGTGGGGGGAGATGAGGGGAAATCTGCTGCGTATGTATCTCTGATTTTGTACTCTATAAAACCACATTTATCAGACTGTGTGATCGGCTGTCACTTTGGTGAAAGTTGCTTCCTCCATTTTTCTGTGACCTCCCAACTCAACCACTTGTTCCCGTCAAACCCAAAACAGACAGCGAGAGAGACGGAGAGAAAGAAAGTTTCACAGAGACCGGGAGCGAGAGACAGAGAGGGGAGAGAGAGAGAGAGTGAGAGAGGGAGAGAGAGAGGCCGTCCCGAGGCTCTGGAATAACATTTAGAATTAGAGATTTAGAGACGTCATTGTCACGGTCATAGTCATAGTGATGGAGAAGGGCAGCTCACACACGCCTCCCGTTGGAGAGGAGCAGAACTGCACCCGGCCACAAATGGACCGAACAAAGTCCCGGGAAAGTCCGTAACGACAACAACAACATTGCCACACTACACTCACACAGCGCCTTCCGCATCAAATCAGACGCCACAAGCTCCGACGAAGCGGGTGCTTCGGTCGGTAAAACCGAGCGGGAAAGAGAGCGAGCGAACTGGTAATAATTTAATAACCCTCACGATCCTCGCGCTTGATACGGCGCCTGAACACGTCGTCGAGACGTCCCAAAGGGCTTCACAGGCCACGCTGTCAAGCGGAGCGACCGTGTGTGTGTGCGCGCGTGTGTGTGCGCGTGTGTGTGTGCGTGTGCGCGTTGCGGGTGAAACGCGGCAGCCAATTGCGTCCGACAGCAGCGACGTCCCCACAAACAGTCGTTTTCAAATCACTTCGCGCCCTCTCCCCTCCCTCCCTCCCTCGCCCGCCTGCTTACCCCCACCTCCACCGCCCGCTGCCTCTGCTCGGCTGGCTCCGGCCTCCTGTTTGTCCCCCCCCCCTCCCCTCCCCACCGTCCCCTCCGCTTAGCCCCCGTGAAGAGCGCCATATGAATGCAAGTTGTCGCTGTTGTTGTTAACGAGAGGGTTTTTCCCCCTTGTGTTGAATGGGGGGAATCCCTCACTGGTTGATTGTAAATCTGGGCCATTCCAAACGTGGACTTGTTCCCAGATATAAAAACATATCGATCTGTACGTTTAAGAAAGGTTCCGTGACCGTTTGAAAGATCTATCATAAAAGAAGATATACCGTAAAATGTGTATCGTAAAAAAAAATACATCCTGTGAAGCGCTTTGAGACGTCTCGAAGACGCGATAAGGCGCTATATCAAATGCAAAGATTATTATTAGTATTATTATTTTGCGGGTGTGGGGGGGGGGGGGGACGGGGAGACAAGAAAAAGAAATGGCGCTATTATTGTTATCGGAGGTCGATAAATCTTTTGATTTGAAACTCCGCAAAGTGCGTGTGAACTTGACAAAGTGGGTGAGAGGAGAGTTGTGCACATGGCTTTTCTGTGTGTGTGTGTGTGTGTGTGAGTCCGTGTGAGTGTGAGCGTCTGTGAGAATCCACTAGAGGGAGACCGGGTCTAACTTGATGTGGATTTAAGGCAACACATTGCCGCTTTCACACCGGCAACTGGGTCACCTGCTCGAGAAAGGGTCTGCCTGTCTGACCGAGACACAGAGAAAAAATGCAACAGAGGCAGAGACGCAGAGACACAGACACAGATAGATATAGACACAGAAAAACAGGATAAAACAAAGTACAGATAATAAGGATAATAATCCTTGCATTCGATGTATACAGAGCCTTGTCACGTCGGAAAGACGTCTCAAAGCGCTTTATGGAATATGCAGTAAAGTGGATTGACTGTGTAATTTGAAAGCAACCGCAGAATTTGCGCACAGCAGCGTCCCACCAACAGCCGTGGACTGAGTGACCACTTTTTTTTTATTGGAGGGTTTATTACCTCCGGGAAGTGATCCACCAGTCGACTAATAGCTGGATTCCTACTGGTAAACAGAAGGGTGGAGCAAGGAAACTTGCCAAAGGTTTCGCCCTGACCCGCCCGGGAACCGAACGCAGGGTCCTCTCACTCGCAAGGCGAGCACTTGAACCACTGAGCTACAGGTGCTGTGTTTGACGGACACCTGGGCCGAGGGACCTGAAAGCCTCTGAAGGATTGTTGGCCACAACACTGGGAGAAAGTCCCTTTTTCCCCAGATTCTCATGGGAGGTTTAACATCCAGCTGAGCTGCAGAGGGTTCACAAGAGAGTGAGCGACTGTGCCAGGCTGAGACCCAGCGAGGAGCAGCATATAATTGTCGGAGGGAAAGAGCAGGGAATGGGGTTAGAGTAGAGAGCTCCGGTGGGGGAGCGATCCCCGGCAAAGACACGATGGGGAGCGAGAGAGAGAGAGAGAAAGAGAAAGAGAGAGAGAGAGCAGGGAATGGGGTTAGAGTTTGCCTAATTACAAACGAGGAGATATTTTCCTCTCCCGCCTGGAATTAATAACACCACGTGATTAGGGAATGAAATCTCCGTGTCTCCGTTCTCTGGCTTCCCCATGTGTTCAATCTTTGAGCCTGGGCTTAATTATTAGGCTCTCCTGTTCAAAGCAGAGACTTTAATGGACTTTAAAGTTCTTTGCCCTCCAGAAGGTATCTCGTTAACCGCATTGCCTAGCAGACTGCCGCAATAGTGCGCGCTCTCACACACACACACACACACACACACACACACAGCCCGATACACACTAGCTATCAATTTGGGGGCCGACATTATCGAAAGTGGACTGGGGCTGTCGTGAGTAATTGCTTTCATCTTCGTGTTCCCCGGTTTAGTTCCTGTCCTCGTCCACATGTGGAGGCGTGAGGTGTCTCTCCATCCCCCAGCTCTGCCTGTCCCTACGCACACAGCAAATCAAGTATCGCCCTCGTCACTGCGGCCTCGGATATCACATCAATCCCTCCATCACCACCACCCTCCCCTCCTTCCTTTGTCAATCACTCCCTCCCTCTCTCCCTCCATCTCTCCCTCCCTCCATCCCTCCCTCTCTCCCTCCATCTCGCCCTCCCTCCCTCCCTCTCTCCCTCCCTCTCCCCCTCCCTCCATCTCTCCCTCCCTCCATCACTCCCTCCCTCTCTCCCTCCATCTCGCCCTCCCTCCCTCTCTCCCTCCATCACTCCCTCCATCTCGCCCTCCCTCCATCTCTCCCTCCCTCTCCCCCTCCCTCTCTCCCTCCCTCTCTCCCGCCCTCCATCACTCCCTCCCTCTCTCCCTCCTTCTATCATTCCCTCCCTCCATTAATCACTCCCTCTATCCAGCTCACTGTTCATTCATCTGTTATCCATCCATCCTACCCAGCTCTGTCTGTCTGTCTCTGTTGCTGCTTGTCTGCAACTCTAAACACGACAGACAATTGCGTACAGCAGTTTCCCACAAACAGCCGTGGATTGAGTCACCAAATTATTATTTGTTGTTCAGGGATTATTACCCCCGGAAAAGCGATCCGCCAATCGACTAACAACCGGGTTCCTGCTTACTGCTCGGGAAACAGAGGCGTTTGCGTGTGTGGAGTAAGGAAATTAGGCTACGGTTTCACCCCGACCCGCCCGGGAATTGAACCCGGGTCCTCTTGCTTGTGTGGTGAGCGCTCCTACCACTACGCTACAGAATTAACAGGAGTGTAAGACTAAATCCGAAGATAAAAAAGGAGGTGTTTTCGGGCTGGGCGTCTGTCTTACACTTGCCGCTGAACCCCTGAACCCCTGAACCCCCTTCTCCTGAAGTCCAGGGAAACTGAGCAGAGTTATAACAGAGAGAATCTTACCGAGGAAACATGTTAGCAGAACTGTGCAGCCTGTAATTATGACCACACGCCAAGACGGGTTTAGGATTTGGCTTCTCTGATGTTCCCGGGACCACAGAAACCAACTCGACTCCATTGAAGACTAAATAAGCGTTTAATTTACTTAATGAAGATTAAAGACTGTTGTGCAATTCATCCCGTCAGATTGAATGTGTCCCTGGGCTATTGCTCTGTGCAGCGCTCTAATCACTTCAGCAGATTAAATAACTTGCAAACTCATTGCTGCGTCTGTTTGCCGAGGGTTTCTCAAATGCTTAAAAATAACGCGAGAGCTATTTGCAGAGTCCTGTAGTGCGGTGGTTAGACACGCACCTCGCAAGAGAGAGGACCCGGGTTCGATTCCCGGGAGGGTCGAGACGAAACCTTAGGCAAGTTTCCTTACTCCATACACACACACACACACACACACACACGCCTCTGTTTACCGGCAGTAAGTAGGAACCTGATTTGTTCATTAGGCCATTTGCAGATCGCTTTCCCGGGATAGCAGTCCCTCAAAGAAAGAATTGGTCGCTCAGTCCACGACTGCGTGTGGGGGACGCTGCTGTGCGCAATCGGCTGCCGTGTTTTGCCCACAAAATACACAGTCACTACACTTCACAGTATATCCTGCGAAGCGTTTTGAGACGTCTCAACGACGTGACGAGGCGCTGTGTCAAACGCAAGGATTATTATTATTAGTATTTATTGTGGCAAAGTGGCTCTCTGGTTGCGCCCCTGTGTGTCCGTCCCTTACCCCAGGAATTTATTCCCCGCCCCCACTTCACCTATCCCCGCCTCGCTGCGGCATCTCAGAGCTCCTCCGCCGCGCGGCAAAGCCTCTAATAACCGAGCATGCAAATGATTTACGATGAACCAAACCCATTGTCATTCCACAGGTTACAACCGGCTCCTGAGAAAAAATGCTATCCCGCGAGGTTTTTCTTAACCCTTCAATTACAGTCAGGTCCAGAGAATTTCTGTCTCTCCTGGACTGCTTTTTTCCCCATCGTGGGGAGCGAGCCCCAGCACAGACACCATGGGGAGAGCGCGAGAGAGAGAGAGAGAGAGAGAGGCTGTTCCACGACTGTTTCTGGGACACTGCTGCGCGCAATTGCCTGTCGTGTCTCTTCCACAATATACACAGTCACTACACTCTTACAGTATATTCTGCGAAGCGCTTTGAGACGTCTCGACGATGCGTTAAGGCGCTGTCTCAAATGAAAGGATGATTATTCTCTAGACAAGGGTCTCGCAAATCACCCCGGCATCTCCTCCCAGATTGACGTGGCAGCGAATTGTGAGCCCAACCTTGAGACGTAAAAGATTTAAAAAGGTTCAATAATGCAGAGGTTTGGAGTGTGTGCCCAGAGTTGCGGGGGAGGAGGGGGTGGTGTGGGTGGGGGCGGTGTGTGGTGGTGGGGCGGAGGTGTGGGGGTGTTGGGGGGGGGGGGAGGGGGGGGGCTGAAGAGGAGGAAATTCGAGGTGGAGAGGAGACAGAAAGAGTCCGAAATTCAGCAGTTTGGAGAGAGAAGAAAAATGATTGCTTCCTTGATGTGAGGGAGGCTTTCTGATTCCTCGTTAAATCTTCATGCTCCTTCGCTTTGGTATTAATGGCTGCACTGCCCTGTGCTAACGTGGTGCCACTCTGTGTTCATCAATAATAACTGATCCCATCCCTTCCCTTCTCACCAGTGTTATCCTAACCTGCTCTCTGCTCAAGGTCTGTCTGTGCTGGGGCTCGCTCCCCCACTGGAGCTCTTCAACCCCATTCTCTGCTCTCTCTCTCTCTCCCTATCGTGTCTGTGCTGGGGCTCGCTCCCCCACTGGAGCTCTCTCCTCTAACCCCATTCCCTGCTCTCTCTCTCTCCCCATCGTGTCTATGCTGGGGATCGCTCCCCCACTGGAGCTCTCTACTCTTACCCCATCCCCTGCTGTCTCTCTCTCTCCCTCCCCACCGTGTCTGTGCTGGACATATATTTATAAGTATATTTGTGTCCCGGCCTGGCTCAGTGTTTGTAATCTCTTTCCCTCTCTCTCTGTCTCTCGCCTGAGTCAGAAGGTTGTGGGTTCAAGCCCCCAAGATGGAACTTGACGTCACACAGTCTAAGCTGACGCTCCAGCCCAGCCCTGGGGGCGCGGGGGGGGGGGGGTTGTATTGTCGGAGATGCCATCCTTCGGATGAGACGTTAAACCTCACTCTCCGTCTGCCTGTTCAGGTGGATGTTAAAGACCTGTGATGCTATTGGAAGAGAAGGGTTTCTCTCTCTCTCTCCCCCCTCCCTCGGTGTCCTGGCCAACAAGTCCCCAAATAAGAGTGGCACCGTCACTCACTCCACGGCTGTTTGTGGGACGCTGCTGTGCGCAACTGGCTGCCGCCTTTGGCCCACAAAACACACCGTATGACATGATAAGGCGCTGTATCAAATGCAAAGATTATTATTATGAAGTGGCTGGGGCGAGGGCGAGGGGGGGGGTTGACTCCTGTGTATTAAATGGACAGTTTGTGTATTAAATCCCCACTCATACGTCTCTGGCTCTCATGGCGTCTCAGTACTGTGCTGTGGGTGATACAGGCTGTCACTCGGATGGCAGTGAGCGTGACAATGATTGATTGAGTGACTGACTGACCGTGAGTGCCCAGTGCTGATGTGTAATTGTGAGAAGGTGAGTATCAGTGTGTGAGTGACTGAGTGAGTGACTGAGTGAGTGAGTGAGTGTGTAACTGAGTGAGTGAATGAGTGAGTGAGTGTGTAAGTGAGTGAGTGAATGAGTGAGTGACTGAATGTGTGACTGACTGAGTGTCTGACTGACTGACTGTGTGACTCAATGAGTGAGTGACTGAGTGAGTGTAAGTGACTGACTGAGTGAGTGAGTGAGTGATGAGTGAGTGAGTGACTGAGTGAGTCAGTGAGTGACTGAGTGAGTGAGCCTGTGATTGCTTTGGGTGGCTGCTGTCTGTAATTTGCTCTGGTGACGTGAGATGGAGGTTGGGTTTGCTCAGCTCTCACTGTATTTGTTCACATCGCGTTTCACTTAAAGCTGATAGAAAGAGGGAGAGAGAGAGAGAGAGAGAAAGATTGCCATTGCCATTGAAATTGAGCCTGAGATTGGGACAGAGACAGAGAGAGAGAGAGAGAGGACAGTCCTGAGCAAGTCATAGGAGACAGAACCAGAGAGAGACACACACACACATATACATACACATACATACATACAACACATACATACATACACACAGCATAGATCAGACATTAAACTCAAACACAGCTGAGAAGCTTTAGCTGTGTGTGTGGGTGTGGGTGTGTGTACTTGTTTATATTTTTTTCTCTCCCTCCCTCTCCCCCCCCCACCCTCCCTCCCCACCCAAAAAAAAACTTTGCAAAAAAGTTTGGAACTTTTCTCAGGAAATCTGGAAGCAAAAGGGAAAAGGGAGGGGAAGCAATTGGACGATTGGAATTGTGCAGAGAGAGTGAGAGTGTGAGAGAGAGAGAGAGAAGGAGGGAGAGAAAGAAGAGAGAGGAGGAGAGGAAGAAGAGAGATAGAAAGAAGGCAAGAAATAAGAGAGAGAGAGAGAGAAAAAGAAAGAAAGAGAGAGAAGAGAAGGAAAACACCGACTGGTTGGATCCTTCTTCTTTGAGAAGAGAAGAGAGAGAGAGAGAGAGAGAGAGAAAGAGGAAAAAAAAGAAGAGAAGAAATCAGCAATTGAAGAAGAGCAAACGACGTGAGGAATGAGCCTGGTTTGGGGGAGCATTTGTACAGTTATTTAGTTACTTACATGTGAGAGAGAGAGAGAGAGAGAGAGGGGGGAGAGGGTCAGGGAGACAATATCTCCATCTCTCTCTGTCCTGTGACCTGGGAACTGCCCTGAAGATGGCTTTGCTATTTGGTGTTGTATTGGCTATAACGCTGTGTGTGCACAGGTAAGAGCGAATCCAACGCATTTTGACAACCATTTATCACTCCAATTGCGACATTAACACAATCCCTCCCTCCTCCCCTTCAACCCCCCCCCCCACCCCCCCCACACACAAGAATTACCCCCTCACATCCACACATTTAACGAATCTTTTCCATCCGATACCCGATTCGATTTCGCGTCCGACGCAACGTTTTTTTTTGGGGGGGGGGTCAAGTTTGCGGCGTTCCTTAACGCGCGTTCCTTGTGCTAATTCAGGGCAGTGACGCCGCCTGCAGTTTCATGTGGGTGATAACGTGTCACAGTTGGATACCAATTGGGAGTCAAGCGTTGGTGGGGGGGGGGGGGGGTAAGAGCGAGGGCTTGTGTTGGACTTGTTTTGTTCAATCGTTTCGGAGATCCTCTCAACCCGTCTTCAAATCCCTTGACTCCCGGCACCTCCCGACCTCTCCCACCTGCTCACCCCCCCACCCCAACCCACCGCCCGCTGCCTCCGCTCGACTGGCTCCGGCCTCCTGCTTCTCCCTCGTGCCCTCCGTTCCACGGGGCTTTCAGCCACTACGCCCCGAATCTCTGGAACACTCTCCCTCAATCCCTCCGCATTGCCCTCCCCCCACCCCCTCCCTGCCCCATCTACAGGTCGCTCCTGAAGACCTTCCTCTTTGACCAATGCCTACGGTCACCTCCCCTAACCCCCTTTCCCCCCTCCGCTGCTGTCAAGCACTCTGGGACGCAGTGTAAATACAAGTTGTTGTTTTGACCCCAAATGTGTGTCAGATTGACCCCTAAGCACAGTGTTTCATGAGGAAAAGAGTGAGAGTCAACTGAAGCCTCAATAATAATAATAATAATCCATGCCCCTTATCACGTCATTGAGACGTCTCAAAGTGCTTCACAGTGTAGTGACTGTATATTTTGTGGGCGAATAGTTCTCTCTCTCTCCCCCTCTCTCTCTTTCCCCGTGCCTTTCCTTCCCCTCTATCCCTCTTCTTATTTTCCCCCATTCCCCTTCCCCCTCTCCTATTCCCGCTTCCCTCTGTTGGCTTGTAAATCAATTGGGTTTCATTGGGTCTGGCTGCCAGCTGTCAAGTCCAGGGGAAGGAGTTCAGAGCTGTTGATTTCTTAACCTGGGCAGGTTCTGGTTAGGTTGGGCTCTAGTTACCTTAGCTTTGTGCACGTGTGCGCATGCGTGGTTGTGTGTGTTTGTGTTGTGTGTGCGTCCGTGATTACATGTGTGTGGTTGTGCGCGTGTTGTGTGTATCCAGTGTATGCGTATGTGTGTGTGTGTGTGTGTGTATTTATGTGTGTTGCGTTGTGTGTATCCATGTGTGTGGGTGTGTGTATTTACGTGTGTGTTGCGTTGTGTGTATCTACGTGTGTGGGTGAGTGTATCTATGCGTGTGTTGTGTGTATTTATGTGTTTGTGTGTGTGTGTGTGTGTGAGACAACCCACCCAGCCATAGGCAACAGCTGACTGCTTCGATCCTTCTCTAGGATTTGTGATGTGGGTTTGAACCCAGAAAGAGAATGTATGTGCGTGTGCATGGTGTGTGTGTGTGCGCGTGCGTGCGTGAGCGTACATGTGTGTGAGAGCAACTCACATTCACTTGAATCTTATTCCAATCAGTCCTTGCCCTTCCTAACGCTCACAGACCCTATATCCCCCAAACGGGGGGGTGGTGGGGCGGGGGGTGAGAGTGGGGCAGAAGTCGAAAGAGGGGAGCAGGGAAAGGTAGGAGGTGAATCGTGGGCAACGTTCTGTGGGCGAAACACGGCGGCCAATCGTGTATGGCAGTGTCTGACCAACAGCCATGGATTGAGCGACCACATTTGTTGTGGACGGTTTATTACCCCAGGGACCGATCCGCCAATCGACTGATAACCCACCCTCCCCGCCCTCCACCCCTCCTGACCTCAAACCCCCAGCTCTCGTGTCCTGAACGTCCAGCACCTTGGGACGTCCTCGCGACATGATAAGGCACTGCAACAGATGCGAAGATTATTATTATCATACCAATTATTATTATTGACTTGCTCTCTCCCCCATTCCCGGGTGCCGTGTAAATGTCATGTGTTGTTGTGTTATTGTTATTGACTAGCCTCTCTCTCTCTCTCTCTCCCCCCCACTCCCTCCCCCTCCGCAGGGCACTGTGTAACGAGATCCTGGGGTTGAAGATCCCTGTGGACCCGGTGCTGACGGCCAACACCGTCTGCCTGACGCTGTCCAGCCTGACCCGCCGGCAGCTGGAGGTGTGCATGAAGAACCCGGACGTGACGGCCTCCGCCATCCAGGGAATCCAGATCGCCATCCACGAGTGCGAGAGTCAGTTCCGCAACCATCGCTGGAACTGCTCCAGCCTGGAGACCAAGAACAAGATCCCCTACGACAGTGTGGTCTTCAGCCGAGGTACAGGACACCCCCCCACGCCCCCCCCTTCACCTCCCAGCTGGGCATGGGGGGGTGGGGATAAGCGATAAGGCGCTGTAGAGTAATGGTTAGCAGCTCGTCTCGGGGTTCGAGTGGGCAGCTCAGGGCGAAACCTTAGGCAAGTTTCCTTAATCCACGCACACGCCCTCTGTTTACGCTGCACTAAGTGTGAACCCGGTTGTCAGCGGATTGGCGGATCGCTTTCCGGGGGTAATAATCCTTCCAAAAATCTACTAATTTGGTCACTCAATCCACGGCTGTTTGTGGGGGACGCTGCTGCTGTGCCCAGTCGGCTGCCGCGTTTCGCCCACAAAACGCACAGCCACTACACTTTGCAGTATATTCCGTGAAGCGCTTTGAGACGTCTGGAAGACGTGATAAGGCGCCGCATCGAATGCCAGGATTTATTATTGTTGTTAGGGTTATTATGTGACTCGGGATAAACTGTAGAGTGAAGTGGCTGCGTGGAGTGTGTGAGCGTCTGTAGACTTGTCATTGATTCGCGGCGGATCCGCTTTCCAGCAGAGATGTCAGCTCGCTCCGTGATAATATTACTACTTATAATTCTAGCGTTTGATATCGTTCGACATCAAAACGTCTCAAAATGCTTCACAGGGAATGTGAGCTCGCAGTCCAAACTGACACTCCATTGCAGCGCTGTGGGAGGGAAGGCAGAGGGGGAGCGCTAATTGTTAGAGGTGTCGTCTTTCAGGTGAGACGTTAAACTGTGAACCCAGTTAAACTGTGTCCTGTTCAGGTGGACGTTAAAGTTCCTGCCACACTATTGGAAAAGAGAAGGGAGTTTCTCTCTCTTTCTCTCTCTCTCTCTCTCTCTCTCTCTCTCCTGGTGTCCTGACCGACAGATAGAATTGGACGTTGACTCGGTGGCCGTTAATGACGGCAATAATAATCCTTGGCCTTCATGTAGCGTCTCATCACGTCGTCGAGACATCCCAAAGCGCTTCGCAGGATACACTGCATGAAACACACAGCAAGAATTATTATTATTAATTATTATTATTATTATGATTATTATTAGCCCCCGGTTTCCGTGGCACCTTCACTTTGATAAAATGCAATAAGCAAAAACCGAGCTTCCCGTCTCCCTCTCCCAACATAAAGAGCTTTGAGCCTGACAGGAAGTTTCCCTGATTTGTGTAGGGTGACTCCTGCGCAGAACTGTGAGATGTTATGACTTTAGTGGCTATAAATTGTCGCGATTTTCGGAAACCCGAGAGAAAAAAAATAACGAAGTGGGTAAATACAACAATAAAGGAGTGTGGAGAAGCTTTCATCTCCCACAGAGACACGCAGCCACAACGCTTTGCAGCGTTATCCTTTTGTGGAGTCCTGTAGCTCAGTGGTTAGAGCGCTCGCCTCGCAAGAGAGAGGATCTGGGTTCGATTCCCGGGTGGGTGGGGCGAGACCTCAGGCAAGTTTCCTACTCCTCTCTCTCACACACACACACACACACACACACACACGCCTCTCTTTACCCAGTATGCAGGTTGTTAGTCGATTGGCTTTTCCGGGGAGAATAATCCACTTAACAAAAAATACTAATAATTTGGTCGCTCAGTCCACGGCTGTTTGTGGGGACGCTGCTGTGCGCAATTGGCTGCCGCGTTCCGCCCACAGAATACACAGTCAATTGCATAATAATAATAATCCTTGCATTTGATATAGCGCTTTTCACGTCTTCTCGACGTCTTAAAGCACTTCACTGGATAATAATAATAATAATAATAATCCTTGCATTTGATATAGCGCTTTTCACGTCGGGAGGACGTCCCAAAGCGCTTCACAGAACACACTGTAAAGTGAATTGACTGTATATTTGTGGGCGAACGCGGCAGCCAATTGCGCACAGCAGTGTGCCCGCAAACAGTCATGGATTGAAATGACCAATTTATTATTGTTTTGTTTGGGAGGGATTATTATCAGACGTGTGGAGTAAGGAAACTTGCCCAAGGTGTCGCCCTGACCTGCCTGGAATTGAACCCGGGTGTCTCGCTTGCAAGTCGAGTGCTCTAACCACTGAGCTACAGGACTCCATAAAATTCACTTTACAGTGTATCCTGGGAAGCGCATTGAGACGTCTCGAAGACGTGATAAGGCACTGTATCAAATACAAGGATTATTATTATATTATTATTATGTCAGTGTAGCCTCGACACGTTGAGAGAAAGAACACGAGACTTTTAAGAACGGTGGAAAACTGGCTTCCAAACTGATATACTTCCACCTGTTCTTAAAGTTTAACCGTGGCTCTGTTATCAACGTGTGTCTGGAGTTACTCCGTCTCTCACTGTCTGTCTCAGTCTCCCTCTCTGTTTTGTGTGTGTGTGTGTCTTTCTCTTAATATGTGTGTCCGCGTGTGTGTGTCTGTCTCTCATTCTCTGTGTCTATGTATGTGTGTATGTGCGTCTCTGCGTATGTCTCTCTAAATCCCTGTCTTGACTCGGTCTTTGTGTGTGTGTGTGTGTGTCTCTCTCTCTCTCCCTTTCTCTTGTCTCTCTGTAGTGTGTCTCTGTCTCTCTCTCTCTCTCTCTGTCTATGTGTCTCTCTCTTGTCTGGGTATCTCACAGGGCCTGAGACCGGGTGGAATTTGGGGCAGGTGCAGTCAGTCAGCGGATGATGCTCGCTCTCAGCGCGGTGCCTGTGCTCAGTAACTGATTCCGCTCCCGTTATTACACGTGTCCTGTGTCGCCCAGCACTCAAAGTGACAGAGCGTCTGAATCATTCATTGATTTTCCCACTTTCTCCAGGCATCAGTTCATCCGTGCGTGCCATCCACGTTTAAATTATTGCTGAGCCCCATTCGCCTCCGATAGTCTCTCTCCTCGGCTAAATATATAGAGAGAGAAAGAGTGGGGGGGGGGGTGGTGGGTGTGGGGGTAAGGGAGGCTGAAACACACAGGCTTTCCATGTCGAGATATTTTCCGAACCTCATCACCTTCCCCTGTGTGAACCTGAGAGATTTACTGTAAAGTCTGCTTGCAATTTGCAGAGAGAGAAAGAGAGAAAGAGAGAGAGACAGCGAGCGAGAGAGAGAGAGAGAGAGATTTGGAGAGAGGGACAGCGAGAGAGCGCGAGCGAGCGAGAGAGAGGGGGAGTGGGAGAGAGAGAGAGCGCGAGAAAGAGACCAAGAGTGAGAGGGAGAGCAAAAGTGAGCGAGTGAGCGAGAGCGCTCCTGGACGCTACCCGGCATGAGGGGGGGGGGGGTGTTGTATAAATCCAAGTTGTGTTTGTCGTAGAGAGAGAGAGAGAAATTGCGAAAGAGAAATAAATATCAGTAGTTAATGGAATGGAATCCTGACCAACCCCTCTCTATCCCTCCATTTCTCTCCCTCCATCCTCCTCTCTCTCTCTCTCTCTTTCTAGCTTTCATTTGCAAATACATTTTAATGCAACACGTTGATAATAATTATTGCTTATGGGTCACTTGTGTCTAACGCTCCACGTTCTCGCTCACAAACAGTTGCTCCACGTCCCCTGCCCGGCCCTGTCTCCCCTTCCACCCACCCACCCACCCACCACCAGCCTTGAACCTCTTCCCCCACCCTTCGGAGCTCCATCCCACAGTCCCTTCCCCTCGCCCCCTCCCTCATCTCCTTCAAGGTCTGTCTCAAGACCCTCCTCTTCGACCGCGCCTTCGGTCACCCTCCCCGACCCCCACCCTCCCAGACCCCCACCCCCTCCCGATCCCAACCCCCAGCTTTGGGTCCAAATCCCCGACTGTCCAGCGCCTTGGGACGTCCTCCCGACGTGAAAGTCAGGCTCTGTGCAAATGTCATGTGTTGTTGTTGTATGATTTAAAGTTGTGCGTATGTGTGTATATATATATATATAATACATGAATGATAATCCTACGCTTTAATACAGTATCTTATTATTGTGGACGAAATGTCCCGAAGGGGGAGACTTGATGGGATTCCTCTGTGGAGTGGAGTGTAGTGACTGTGTCTGTGAGTGGATGTTTTCAGCTTCACGGCAGATCTCGTTTCCCATCTCACTCTCCTCCTCGAACCGTCTGCCGAGACAAGTCACAATCTGCCGCAGGAGCCAGGATTAGTTTGGACGGCTTCCAGTGACTGGCGGGCCTCGCTCGCTCGCTCTCTCTCTCTCTCTCTCTCTCTCTCTCTCGCTCTCTGCTTCTTCTCCTCGATCACTCACTCGGAGGGAGAGCGACGGCCCGGCGAGTCTGGGCAGGCGGCACTAGGACCCAGGAGGGCGCGGCTCCCGTCAAACCCAACTCGCTCGCTTGACATCGTTCCAACTGGCAATCCATCCCCGTCACTGCGTTTACCTGCGTTTACCTGCGCGGGCGCGGGCGCGGGCGCGTGTGTGAGCATGGGTGTCTATGTGTGTGCGCGCGCGCGCGTGTGTGTGTGTCTATCGCCCTCTCTTGACTCTCTCCGTCTGTGTGTGTGTGTGTGTGTGTGTGTCTCGCTATATCTCTCTCCAAATATCCATACGTCTTTACCTCTCTCTCTCTCTCTCGTTGTTAAGCCCATTCGGACACAAATAGCATAATAATCCTCGCACTCGACACAGCGCCTGATCACGTCGTCCAGACGTCTCCCAAGTGCATCGCAGCGCAGTGCAGCGGCCGCGTATTCTGTGGGCGGAACGCAGCGGCCGGTTTCTGTGCGGCCGCGTCCCACAAACAGTCGGAAAGCTCCCGATCCCATTCCCTGCCCTCTCCCCGTCGTGTCTGTGCCGGTGCTCGCTCCCCCCCACTACCCGTCCGCTGCTCTTACACAACACCCTTTCTAAATTGTTCCTCTTCAAATATTAATCCGGTTCCTTTTTAGACGTTGTTTGCGTCTCAACAGAGAGTTCCATTCTAACAGCCGTCCGCCCTCAACCACCATCTTCTGAGCTGCTCGTTTGCTCTTCCAGTGCAGTGACGACTTTGGGGTTTCGCCCCCAGCGGGAACAACAACAACAACGACTCGCATTCACCACAGGGCTCCTCAGGCAGGGTAGCTTTTCCGAGGGTAATCGTCCCTCCAGTAAATTGGTCACGTCAATCCACGGCTGTTTGTGGGGGACGCTGCTGAGCGCAATTGGCTGCCGCGCTTTGCCCACAAAATACACAGTCACTACACTTTATTGAGCTGCGCTTTGAGACGTCTCAACGACGTGATAAGGCACTATGTCAAATGCCAGGATTATTATTATTATTAATATCTCCCAATGATCTCAGGCAACCGAACTGTACTTTAAAATCTGCATCGATCGCAACTCGACCCGATAGTTACTTTGCTGAGGATGTCTCCCTCTCTCCCTCCCTTGCTCCCTCCCACCTTCCCTTTCTCCCTCCCTCCCACCGTCCCTCCCTCCCTCCCTTTCTCCCTCCCTTTCTCCCTCCCTCCCACCCTCCCTCCATCTCTCCCTTCCACCTGCCCTCCCTCTATCCAACCCTCCCTCTCTAACCTCCAACCCTCCCTCCATCTCTCCCTCACCGCCTTCCCTCCCTCTCTCCCTCCCTTTCTCCCCCTCCCACCCTCCCTCCATCTCTCCCTCCCACCCGCCCTCCCTCTATCCCTCCCTCCCACCCTCCCTCTCTCCCTCCAACCCTCCCTCCATCTCTCCCTCCCTCCCGCCTTCCTTCCCGCCCTCCCTCTATCCCTCCCAGCCTCCCTCCATCTCTCCCTCCCTCCCTCCCAACCACCCTCCCGCCCTCCCTCCCTCCCGCTCACTCCCATTTCTCTGTCGTTCCAGGATTCAAGGAGAGCGCCTACGCTTACGCCATCGCTGCAGCCGGAGTGGTCCACGCGGTGTCTAACGCCTGCAGTTTGGGCAAGTTGAGGGCCTGCGGGTGTGATGCCCAGCGGAGGGGGGACGAGGAGGCCTTCCGGCTCAAGCTCAACCGTCTCCAACTGGAGGCCCTGAACCGGGGCAAGGGCATGGTACACGGGGTCCTGGAGCACCCACCTCCCGGGCCCCCAGCCGGCTTCCAGGAGTCCTGGGAGTGGGGGGGCTGCAGCCCCGACATGGATTTTGGCGAGCGCTTCTCCCGGGAATTCCTGGACTCCAGGGAAACCTACAGGGACATCCACTCGAGGATGAGGCTTCACAACAACCGGGTGGGGAGGCAGGTGAGGAGTCTGTCTGTCTGTCCGTCTGTGTTCGATCCATCTCCATCCCCTGGGGGGAGGGGGGTATATAACCATGGCAACTGTGTTGGTGGGGGCTGTAATCATAGCAACCAAGCAAACGCTCTGGGACCCTACCCTGAGTGAGGGGCGCTGCATAACGCTGTTGTTGTTGTCGGGTGGGGGGCTGGTGGGGGGTGTAAAGTTCTGGATTCAAGCCCCCACCTTAGGACTCGGAGTCACACAGTTTAAGATGATGCTCCAGCCCAGCGCTGGGGTGGGTGGGGGGGGGTGTGGTGTTGTATTGCTGCAGACGCCCTCCGTATGAGACGTTAGACCTCACTCCCCGTCCGGCTGTTCAGGTGGACGTTAAAGATCTCCCGCAGGGCTGATGGAAAAGGAAAGGGAGTCTCTCTCTCTCTCTCTCTCTCTCTCTCTCTCTCTCTCTCTCCCTCTCTCCCGGTGTCCTGGCCAACAATCCCCGGATAAAATCGGTCTCTCGCTCCACGGCTGTGTGTTGGGTGTTGTTGCTGTGTGCAAATGAGATGCAGTTGCTATTGAGTCCTGTGAAGCGCTTTGAGACGCCTTCCCAATATCGAATGCAAGGATTGGACTTTCATCCCTCCCTCCCTCCCTCCCTCCCTGGCTCCCTCTCCCTGGCTCCTCCCTCCCTCCCTCCCTCCCTCCCTCCCTGGCTCCCTCCCTCCCTCCCTCTCCTCCTCCTGGCTCCCTCCCTCCCTCCCTCCTGGCTCCCTCCTCCTCCCTCCCTCCCTCCCTGGCTCCCTCCCTCCCTCCCTCCCTCTCTTCCTCGCTCTCTCCCTGGCTCCCTCCCTCCTCCCTCCCTGGCTCTCCTCCCTCCTCCCTCCCTCCTGGCTCCCTCCCTCCCTCCCTCCCTGGCTCCCTCCCTCCCTCCCTGGCTCCATCGCGCTGTTCTTGCCAGCTAAGTCGTGCAGCTGATTAGAAAGTGCAGAGCAAAGGGGAAGTGAGGAGTCTCTGCCCTTTCCTTCCCATCCCCCAAATAAAATCCGTCGCTCATTCGACGACTGTCCGTGGGCCATTGCTCTGGCTGCTGCGTTTGGCCCACAATATACACAGTCACTACACTGCACAGTATATTCTGTGAAGCGCTTTGAGATGTCTCGACGACGTGATAAGGCGCTGTATCCAACTCAGTGGTTATTATCGTTATTAAGGTACTTAATGACAGTGACATTGTTAAGGTTCTGTTCCCTTTACCCGAGGAGAGACTAACCCAGACCCACGATTGGGCTAAAGTGTCCAGCAGTGAGCGGGACCGTGGCCCACACCCACACACGGGGATGGGGGATGGGGGAGGGTGGTGGGTGGGTGGGGGGGGGGTGACATAATGTCCGGTCATGGGGCGCTGATTGCTGTCTCTGAGCTGTCAGTGCTGAAGGGCGTTTGGGTTCCTGTGGCTTCATTGTTTTACAAAGTGTTTGTTCATCTGTTGAAAGAAGACGTTGGCATCTAAGCCGAGAGTGAGTATGTGCGTGTGTCTGTGTGTGTGCGTGTGCGCGCGGTGGGGGGGTTTGGGGGGAGTGGGGAGAAAGGGATCAGGACGTTAGAGTTACACAACCATTCTGCCCAAGAAGTCTGTACCACATGGGGACAGATCCCTCCAAATTGCCTCTCCTTCAGCCCTCTATCCCCCCCCCCTCTCTCTCTCTCTTTCTCTCTCTCCCGCCCCCCCTACCCCACCTCTCACGTACGCATCAAGTTTGCCCTTAAATACGCTGCTGTTGTTTTCTCAGCCAGCGTTGGGAGGGCTGGCGGCTCCAGCAGGAAACCAAGTGAAGTTTTGTTATCAGCAGATAGGGCAGAGAAGAGCTTCTGATGACGAGTTTATACTCACAGAGGATTCTGTGGGACTGAGTCATTTGTTATATACTTTGCGTCCCAGCCTGGCTCAGTGTCTAGCGCTCTCTCTCTCTTTCTCTCTCTCTCTCTCTCTCTCTCCCCCCGGAGAGTATTAGGCGCAGGTTGACCAGAGCCAAGGCTTGGGAGGTGGGGGGAGCCCAGACTGTGTGTGTGGGGTCACTGCTGGAGTCTAACCGGCTAAACCCACACAGCTCGGCCATTGATATCACTATCCGGCAGCTTTCCCGCTGCTTGTCCAGCGAGGACCACCCTCCCCGTCAGTTAGGGCTTTGGCTGTGGGGTTACCAGGAGCTGAGGGCGGAGGATTCACTGCCCCCAGTGACTGGTCGGCCCTTCCAGGTCCTGCCGATGGGCCGGGCCGGGCTGTGCTGCCATCAGCAGCGAGCGCCCTGGGACACTGCCCACCCTCCTGGCTCAGGAACCGGGGACTAGAGACCATCACAGGGAGAGGGGTGGGGGTGGGGGGGGGGGGGGGGGGGCTCAATCCCCATATTCCATTGCCAGGCAGGTCACCTGGGAACCTTTGACTCCTCGATTACTGGTTCTGTGAAGTGTACAGATGGAAACTCTTTTCCCTCTCCACCCCCCTCCACCGCCCCCTACACACACACGCACACACACACACAACACACTCACACTCACTCACACTCACGCACGCCTTCCCCCTTTGCAAAATAGTTGTTTATGGTTTTGAAAAGAAATCGTAATGAAACCCTTATGATAAACTTGTAGAGCGTAAGCTGTAATTGAGCCCATAAAGCCTACAGCCCTCTCCTTTAATCACAGCCTATGCCACCAGTTACTGACTGCTATGCTCCACACACACACACACACACACACACACGTACACACACACACACACGTACACACGCACATGGACACTCATTCACTGACTCACTACACATGTTCGTTCATTCGCTCGCTCGCTCGCTCGCTCAGTCACATTGTTGCTCAACTCAAACATCTGTCATTTAATGCGGAAACACACGCCACATTAAATATAATTACCAAAGAAACAAGTTTACGTTTTCAAATGGTGGTGTTTTTTATCCACATGTGTGGAGGAGACGTCTCTCTCTCTCTCTCTCTCTCTCTCTGAGGGTGTTTTGTAACCTCTCCTGTTTTGCTTGCGAGACGCACATTGTGCGGTGGTCTCTAAGCTTCTCCGTCGACCTTCTAGTAAATCGGAAATATACTGCGGAAGTGTAGTGACTGTGTAATTTTGTTTAACGTCCACCCGAACAGCCACACGGGGAGTGAGGTTTAACTTCTCATCCAAAGGACGGCGTCTCCGACAATACAACACCCCCCACCCCCCAGTGCTGGGCTGGAGCATCAGCTGAGACTATGTGATTCCAAGTCCCCACATAGGGACTTGAACCCACAACCTTCTGAAATCACATGGAAATCCCAGAGATAGATTGTTGGAATGGAATACACTCTCTCTCTCTCTCTCTCTCTCTCTCTCCCTCTTCCTGGAGGGACACATCCTGTTTTACCTAATTCTGGAAAGTATTAGGCGGAGGTTGGCGAGAGCCAAGGCTTGTCGGCGGGGGGTGGGGGTGTGGGAGAGCCCAGAGTGTGTGTTGGGGGAAACTGCTGGAGACTAACCAGCTAAAACCGTGTAGCTTGTCTGGCCAAACTCTCCCACTTAGTCACTATTACTGGGAAGAACATTGTGTGTAGTGTAACAAACGGGTAATTCTGGGTGCCAGATACAGTAGCTCCGAGTCAGTGTTGGTTAGCCGCCCAGATGATCAATTTTCAAATCCCCTCACGCCCCGGGCACCTCCCTCCCTCCATCCCTCTCCCATCTGCTCACTCCCCAGCTCCGGCCTCCTGCTTGTCCCTCTTGTCCCTCCACCATCGGCGGTCACACTTTCAGACGCAAACTCCCCGAAACTCTGGAACTCTCTCCCTCAATCCCTCCGCCTTGCCCCCCCCCCCCCCCACTTCCCGCCCCATTTTCAGGTCACGCCCGCCCGAAGACCTCCCTGTTCGACCGTGTCTACGATCACCTCCCACCCACCGGCTCGGTGTCGTGCTCCGCCGCTGTCTAGCGCTCTAGGACACTGCCCTGTGTGAGGAGCGCCGTGTGAATGCAAGTTGTTGTTGACTGACCATCTCTCCCCCCACCCTCCCCCTCTCCCCCCCCCACAGATGATCGCTGACAACATGAAGAGAAAGTGCAAGTGTCACGGCACATCCGGCAGCTGTCAGCTGAAGACGTGTTGGCAGGTCACCCCCGAGTTCAGGATAGTGGGAACGCTCCTCAAGCAGAAGTTCTACAACGCCAGCTTGATCAAAGCCCACAACAGGAACGCGGGGCAAGTGGACAACACCCCCCACCTTCACAGGAGGAGACCCATGCTCAACGAGCTGGTCTTCTTCGAAGAGTCGCCCAACTTCTGCGAGTGGGAGCCTCGCCTGGACTCGGCGGGCACCAGGGGCAGGATCTGCAACAAGACCAGCCCTGGGATGGACAACTGCGAGAGCCTGTGCTGCGGGAGAGGCCACAACATCCTGCGCCAGACCAGGAGCGAGCGCTGCAACTGCAAATTCCACTGGTGTTGTTACGTGGCTTGTGAGGAGTGCAGGGTGACGGAGTGGGTCAGTGTTTGCAAATGAGAGAGGGGCTTACTCCCTCCCTCCCCTCCCTCCCTTCCTCACCCTAAAACCCTCCCTCTCCGCACCTCCCCGCCCTCCCAGACGCCCACCCCCCCTCCACCCCACCCCCCCCCCCCCCCGAATCGAATCGCGAGAGAAACAAAATTTATATATCGGAACAAAACAGAAGAAGGAACGGAAAACGAACCCGAGCCGAGACACAGCCACAGATAATGTTCCATCTCCGCATCGCTTTCAGCTTCCAAAGGGAAGGAGTTTTGGCGAAAAGAGTGTGTGGAAGATTGAGAACACACCGTCCCTCCTCTGCACCCCCCCCCCTCCCATTCGCACCCCATTCACCCACCCCACCCCTCCCATTCACTCCCCCCCCCCACCATCCCAGGCTCGTCCAGTCCACATTCAGAAGACATCACTGCTCATCTCCCAATGCATCAAAACACTTATCCAATCCACGGCGTTGGTCCAACCATTTGGCTGCCAAGGGCCGAATTTGGGAAAGGTCCAGGGCCACATAAGCAATATATTCATCCCGATTGGCCAGTCCCGTTTCCGGGTGGAGCCTGAGCCCCCCCCGTGACCGTCGCTTGTATTGGCTCGTCGGACATTGAAGTTGGAAATGGTTGGCGGGACGGACAAAGTCATCCCATGGGCCGGATGCGGCCCGCGGGCCGCCAGTTGGACCACCCTCTGATCTAATACATGCCTCTTGTCCAACACAGCATATATATAATACAATTATATATATATATATACACATATATATATCTAGAATATATATGAAGACATCAATCATTTCACTGCCTGGCGGAAAGAAAGAAAAAAAACACTGTGTGGCTGACAGACTTGGGCACTCAGGTCGAAATCATAGACTTTTAACAGAGATTAAAAAAAATATACAGAAAGAGAGAAAGAGAGAGAGAGAGAGAGAGTGGAAAAAAAAGTGTAATTATTTGGAATCGTGTGTTTAAAAAAAAATGTTGTTGTTTTAATGTATTATAACTTATTTTAATATAACGGATACTTGTACACTTCTGAAGGATGTGGCTAGAAATGTCTTCAAAATGCTGAGGCAAATATCGGAGTCGATGGGAACCGAGGGTCAGCGTCTCAGGAAGAAGAGGAGGTCATCAGCCCCTCAAACCTGTTCCGCCATTCTATCAGATCACGGCTGATCCGCAGCTCAACTCCAATTACCCGCCTTTGCCCCGTATCCCCGTGATCCCCCGACCTGACCAACATCTATAGACCTCAGTCTGGACAACGTGAATGGATTCCAGCCATAATCCACAGCCTTTTGGGGGGGCGGGAGAGAGAGAGTTCCAGATTCACACTGGTCTTTGGGTGAAAAACTCTCGCTAATATCACTCCTAAACGCCCTAGCTCTAATTTTAAGATGATGCCCCCTCGCTCTGGATTCCCCACCCAAACTTCCTTACTCGACGCGCCTCTGTTTACCGAGCAGCAAATTGGAACCCAGTTGTTAATCGATTGGTGGACCGCTTTCTGGGGGTAATAATCCCTTCAAAAATAAAATGAGTAAATAATAATAATTCGGTCACTCAATCCACGACTGTTTGTGGGGACGCTGCTGTGCGCGATTTCACCCTCAAACTACGCAGTCAATTCACTTTGCAGTATATTCTGTGAAGCCCTTCGAGACGTCTCAACGACGTGATAAAGTGCTGTGTCAAGTGCAAAGAACATTATAATTACAACATCAAACCTTGTAAAGTGAGGCGAAACAACCAAGCGGGAGTTTTATTTCCCCCCCAAAAAAACAGCAGCTCAAACTAACTATTAAGACAAAAAATTCCCAAGGGAAGAAAGAAAAGCTTTTCGCTTTTAATCGGAATATTTTCACTCCTTACTCACGAGGTTCAGGATTGTCTTTATCAGCAAATGTGAGCTTTTAAGTGCCGTTAATTGGCGTTTTAAGGTTGGTGAAGGCCCACCCTTTGCTGTGCATCTGTTAGCTGGTGTTTTAGGAGCTATAAAGTTCTCCTGACAAGAGTTCCTCTGTCCCACCCATCATCCCCCATGTAGGGCAGGGCCAGGCCAGTCCGGAGGGAAACAATAGTAATAATAATAATCCCTGCATTTGATACAGCGCCTTATCACGTCATCGAGGCGTCTCAAAGCGCTTCGCAAAATACACTGTAAAGTGCATTGACTGTGTATTTTGTGGGCGAAACGCAGCAGCCAATTGCCCTCAGCAGCGTCCCACAAACAGTCGTGGATCGAGTGACCACATTTGTTTTGGAGGGGGTTGAGGGAGCGACTATTACTCCCAGAAAGCGATCTGCCAATCGACTAACAACCGGGTTTCTACTCACCGCTGGTAAGCAGGTGTGTGGAGTAAGGAAACTTGCCTAAGGTTTCGCCCTGACCCGCCCGGGAATCGAACCCGGGTCCTCTCGTTTGCGAGGCAAGTGCTCTAACCACTGAGCTACGGGATTCCATCAGCAATGCCCCTGTGTAGAGTGGACCCACCAGGCTCAGGAATTGGATAAGAGACTGTAACAGAGGCCAGAATTGATTGTGATGTTCCATTGCCAAGGACGTCAGTCCAGAGGAGACCCCACGTACCACCCTCCCCCCACCAAACAACCCTCTATCTCCCCAAGGAGGAGAGTGACTGTTTGCAGATCAGGTCCGGTCAGTTTACACCGCAGGAACTCAGAATGTCCTGTAGGCCGTTTATTGCTCTCCTGTTGTGTGGGTGTGGACGAGTACCCAGGGATTTCAATGCTGCACTCAATTGTTGCTGTGCCTCCTTACCCGGCTCTCCCATTGAGAGAGAACGAGGGAATGTGTATAAAGGGGCAGCATTACCCCAGTAACACCACTCACAGGATCTACTTTAAGTCTAGTGACTGTGTATTTTGCGAGCGAAATGCGGCAGCCAATTGCGCACAGCAGCGTTCCACACACAGTCGTGGATTGAGTGACTAATTTTTTTTTTGGAGGGATTATTACCCCCGGAAAGCAATCTTTAACGTCCACCTGAACAAGGAACAGATGGGGAGCTCGGCTTAATGTCCCATCTGTTAATTTCCCACTTGGCCACTTCATAATTTTCAAGCCGCTTTTGGCATCTGCGGACCCCACTAACCTGTTGGCTGCTGAGGGCCGGATACCCTAAGTTGAGAAGCATCTGAGGGCCACATAAGCAATATTTTTGTGTTTCGCTTCCAGAAGCACAACATAACATTTACAGATTATGGAGGGAGTGGGTGGGCCAGATAAAATGGGGGGGGGGGGCTGGGGGCGCAGGATGGAATCAGCCCACGGCCAACAGTTGGACCATCTTGACATAGAGGAACGAGGCTGAAATTTTAAGGTGAGTCAGTCAATCCTCTCCCCTACCCTCTGGCGCTGTGTGCGTATATGCGTGTGTAAGTGTGTGTGTGTATGTAAGTGTGTGTGTATGTGTGTGAGAGACAAGGTCAGCAGATGTAGTAACAGCACAGCCACCAATCCTCCATTCAAACCTCCCGCCCTCACACCCCCTCCCGCTCCCATTGGCTGAGAGGGGAGCAACGATTGGGCGGGACAGCATGTGATTGGAGAGCTGTTTGTGAATGGAATGGAGTCCGGAGTTGGATAATGGGGGTCTCTCTCCTGGGGAACAAACAGCTGAGTTTTTGCCCTCGAGTTGGGAATCGAGATGCGAATTCAAACATCAATGCAGATAGTTATTGAGATACGGAGCACTATGGAACCATCGTAAAGGGGAGAGGCAGCGGAGGTGATGGACGGAGTATTGAGATAGGAGCCAGTGGGATAAGGCATACAGAGAGGCGTGGTGGGGGGGGGGGTGGGTAAGAGGGGTAATGGAGGTGGGGCTCCTTCACTGTCCAGCGCCTTGGGATGTCCTCCTGACCTGAAAAGCGCTGTGTAAATATCATCTGTTTGTTGTTAAAAGCTTGGGAAGGGTTTCCAGCAAAGTACAATTCGAACCAAACTGATGCAGGGGGGAGGCTTGGGGGGAGTCCAGAGTGCGGGTTGAGGTAACTGTGGAGTTTAACCAGGAAAAAGCGCATAGTTTGCCATTGAGAGGGCTGTCTGGCCAAGCTTTTCTGCTGCTCGTCCAGTTAGGACCATCCTACCCATTAGGGGTTTGGCTGCAGGGTTAACAGGAGCGTAGAGTTGGAAAGCTCGGGCACTTGTGGTTTGTATCTTTAACAAAAAAAAACATTCGCAGGAAAAATCCTCTGAAAGATTTTAATTTTGAAACGGATTCAGATGAGGAGATCAAAGCCCTAGATTCTAAGTGCCGGAGGCAGATAGTGGGCAGAGTGTTTGTCCTCGTCACTCACATCAATCTCCCAGCTGGAAATTCCCCAGTTTTAGTCCTTAAAGACAAAAAAAAAACTTTTTTTGTGTATTTTAAGAACACCGTGGACTCGTGGAGTGCCGTAGAGTAGTGGTTAGAGCGTTCGCCATCGCGAGCGAGAGGACCCGGGTTCGATTCCCGGACGGGTCAGGATCGAAACGTTAGGCAGGTTTCCTGACTGCACACACACACGCGCCTCTGTTTACCCAGCAGTAAGTAAGGCCCGGCTGTCAGTCAATTGGTGGCTCGCTTTTCCAGGGGTAATAATCCCTTCAAAAATAAATAAATTGGTCAATCAATTCACGACTGTTTGTGGGACGCTGCTGTGCACAATTGGCTGCCATATTTTGCTGACAAAATACAGTCAATAATCACTTTATTGAGATGAGCTTTGAGACATGTCAATGACGTGATAAGGCGCAGGTCAAATGCAAGGATTATTATTATTAATATCTCCCGATGACCTCCGGCAACGGAAGTGCATTTTAACATCCTCATTAATCACAACGCGACCCGACTGTTACTTGGCCAAGAATGGGGGATTATTACTTATTTTGAAATAAAAAGGGGTTTGGGCAAGCCATGCTCAGGCAAGCCCTGGTCCAAGCACAGAGATGTCAGGGAAGTCGAAGGCAGAATGTCAGGCATTCAGATAATTGCGAGC